GCTAAGGTTGTAAACAATGATGAGATAAAGCTAAGGTAAAGATTTCCCCTATTGATGGAATCCCTTCTGTTTATGCTTCATACAAATGTACCAACACTTCTCTATCAATCATGAACGCTCGTCTTACCGTAAATCTCTCCCGAGTAATCACAGTAATATACTATTGCACTCTCCCGAGATACACTAGCTAGCTTTAATTAACACAGTTCACTTAAGATTGCACCCAAGACTTTGTTATCCCTAATCCCGCCTTTAAACCCGCAGTTATAGATTCCTCTTATACTTTAGGAGTTGTGTTATTCAAAAATAACCTAAATATGCACTCTCTCCCGAGTTATGCACACTAAATAGGCACAGCTAATTGAGGATCCTGTCAATTAACTACAACATACACAAAGTTGAACAAATAAAGATTGAGACTAGCAATTTGTATTAGCATAAACAAGAAGTTCATCCCCAAATAGGTTCCATCAAAACCTTAGACAAAAGATTTAGCTACTCATAACAATGGATAAATAAACTAAAACAATATTCATCATAAAACTTGCAAGAAACATAAAGAGAAGAAGAAACCAAGATGTTTTGGGTGATCTCTCACACTTGTCCTTCTTCCAAAACTACTCTCCAAAACAATATCTTCTCTCTTGGGCGGAGTCTAGTGTTTAAAATAGGGTTTTGGGCTAAAAATCCCGTGTTTTGCACTTTAGTCCCTGAAATTTCCGCCTCCTGCCGCGGTTCTACCGCGGTCGCGGTCAAACCGCGGCCAAACATGGCCTCTGATTCTTCAATTGTCTGTGTCTGCACTCTGCCGCGGTTTTGCCGCGGTCGCGGTGAAGCCGCGGTTTTTCATCCTGTTTCCTTTGGAATTTGGAAAAATGCAAAACATGAAAGTTGTAGACCTTTGAGTTATCTTTCCAACCATATATATAGAGTCAAAATGGAGTTCTGAGTAAAACGTTATGTACATTGTACTAGACAGTGCGCAATATGCCTCATCGAGTCTTCGTTTGTTCTCAACTATCAAATTTGACCCCCGAACACGATCCCGGCTTAATTCCTTGAGCTTTTAATCAGACTTAAAAGCTTCAAATCACTTAAATTCATTCCATAACATTTATATAGCTCGGAATCACGCCTACAAGGCATAAAACACATAATTAGTGCAAAACACTAGCGATTAAAGCGCAAACTCAACTAAAGTGCAGTAAATTAGAGTGTAATAATCAATTAAAACACGTAATTATAGCCTATCATCAGTATGGTTGGCTGAGATAGGTAGCCCCAACTTGGATGCGAATAATACTACCTATGCAACTGCAAATTCAGCTGCAAATCATCGTGTTGGCGTTAATTCTATTATCTTCTTTCCGATAGTTGAAATCACTCGGTATCCCCACATTGCGTTAGTTTTGTTATCTTCTTTCCGATCGCAGAAGCGTGTGTTTTCAGGGAATGGGGAAGAAAATGACATGTATCAAAATAGAGAGAGAAAGAAAATAGTGTAACTAAATTGCGTATTTAGTGGCTTAGGGGTAGGAGGTAACCAAAATTAAATAGTTTATTATAAACATTAAAAGATATCTATAAAATATAATTTTTTAAAATGATATTTGTTTAAAATAAATAAGGTAATACCTTTGCTATAGGAGGTAAAAATTCCTATTATTATCCAATAACCAAGACTCAAAGTGGACTAGGGTCAACATACTAGTTTGTTCATATGGGTCAACTTGATAGCTATTGCTTGACCTCAATAGCGGAGCCACATATAATCATAGAGATTCAAATTGAATTTTGTTTTGCAAAAAATTATATTGCGTAAATATAAAATAAAAATAAATTTGTACATATATATAGAATTTAAATTCTCCTTAATATAAGAGAAAATACATGTTAGAAATCGCAAATATAACATTTTTGAATATTTTAGAATCTCCTCGTCAGAATTTCTGATTCCACGCGACTGCTCGACCTGCAATAAATTTCAGCCAAAGGAAAAATGTACCTCCATTTATTCGAGTTTGGGGGAGTCGGGTTAAAATTTATATTCTATTTTGGGTCAACTTAGGTCAATTTGAGCTACTCAAGTAACCAAATTTGACCCATAAGCCTTGTGAAGAAACAACAATAAAAATCTTTTATGTTTTGTTTGTCACATGAATAAGCGCACCCCACAAAACTTGAACTCAGACTGGTGAAGTCGTAGGTATATAGGCGGCCATTAAAACCGCTAGGTCATTTCTCTGTCAGTTTCCTTAGGCCCGACACGTATTAATTCTCGTACAAAATCCAAATTGATTGGAATACTGTGCCTAAATATTTAGGATCGATAAAGTCATTGGCGAAACCAAGAATTACTCAAGGATGTTCAAACTTAAAATAAATAGAAAAAAATTTTACAAAAAATATTCAATATATGTTATGTACCTCTAAAATCTAAAATTTTAGATATATACGCAATGTAAATTTTTATACAAAGGGTGGTCAATTCATGACCATCTTAAGCAAATTGTGGCTTCCTGTAAAGAGTCTTAACAGAAGAACAAAAATGAAGTACATTTAAAAATAAAAATATTAAATAGCCCAAATTTGATAAAACTGAATGGGCATGAGAAACACCGGAGTCTACTGCAAATTCTTTTGTTCTTTTTCTCCTTTTTTTTTCCAATTCTTCTTTAATTGAAAGTGATCATCAGAAGCTATGAGCAATACTTCCTCCAGCAGAATCTGAAGAATGGCCATTGAAATCCATCATGTTCTAGCAATCTTGAATCTCATTGTCCGATGCCATTAATTGTTCCCAGAATTCTTCTTCTTTTCCAATACCTACATCTGTTTTAATTCCCTTCTTTAACTGTACAGGCTCTTCTTGTTGCTGGGAAGAAGTAGTGGCATTCTGTTGTAATTGAGTTGATGTGTAATCTGCAAATGAGAAATTAAGCTTAGCTCTAGGACCTCTAAATTCAGTGGCTGCTCTATCATAAGCTCGAGCTGCATCTTCTGCTGTATTAAAAGTCCCAAGCCATACTCTAGTTGCCCTTCTTGGATCTCTAATCTCTGCTGCCCATTTTCCCCACGGTCTTTGTCTCACTCCTCTGTAATTCTTCTTCTTTTTCTTGGCAACAATCTTGGCCTTGTTATTATTATCAGCAGCAGCAACTGGGGCTCCAAAATAGTTACAACCTAAACACCCTTTTATTTTGCAGAATTGACATGGCTCTGGTTCGGTTGGAACACGAAACAGAGGTGGCTCTAAACTTGACATGCACGTAGAAGGTGAAGAAGATGAAATTATATATTGAAATTCTTGAGTTGTATCACCTGTTATAACATTTGTTAAAGCAGAAATCATAATAGAAAATTCTTGTTCATATGTGAACTTTGGCTTTGAAATTTGATGGTTGACTGTAACAGTTTCCTCTTGTTTAGCTCTTTTGTTTGACCACTGCATGGTTGAAATTTGAAAAGCTGGAAACTTTGGTCTTTGGCTTTCAGATAGTTATCTGGTTTGCTAGTTCTTTGCTTTATATACGAGGGAATGAGAATAAAGAGCAAAGTTATACTGTTATAGTAATACACTTTCTGTACACGGGTTTGATTTTTAGCTTAGCTGGCATATTAATATTATAGGTTTTTGAGGGCACGTGGGAATTTGGATGGTGCGTTTGTGATGAGGTGGCGGTTATATGGGTCGGGTTTTGGGAAATACTTGATGACATGGCAGGGGAGAGGCGTTCACACGGTGAATGTAACTTTCGTGGATGGAGAAGGTGGACAGGTTTTGCCTTTTTAGGCAAGGACTGTTATAGAAGAATGATGTAATCACTTACACAAAGGAGAGGGTATTTTTGGAATTTTGCGAGACATCAGACCAGAGTGGGGACAGTTTGACAGTCAAATAGTTCATCCTGTCGCCTTGAAGCAACTTTAGACCAAACTGGTTTATATCTACCCGTCATCCATTTGTCCAATACTCTTTGATGGTCAAATACACGTACAACCCATCCAACTTGGTACAATTTTTTATTTTGTTTCGTTTTGGCCCTCCAACTCTATTTTATATATTTCATTTTGGTCCTTCAATTCTATTTTTTATATTCCACTTTAACACAAAAACTAAAATCAGTGCAAAAATATAGCGTGTGTATATACACAAATCTAAGTTGTAATAAATATCCAATTAAATGTTGTCACTTGGTTTTTTTATCTAATTAAATACCACTTGATATTTATTCAATTAAAGTTGTAATAAATATCCAATTAAATGTTGTCACTTGGTTTTTTTATCTAATTAAATACCACTTGATATTTATTCAATTAAAGTTGTAATAAATATCCAATTAAATGTTACCTGAACCCTACCGTATTTTTTAGGAATTTATTTCATCTAAACGGGTCAGATATGAAATCGGTAGATGAAAGCTTTGGAACTTAGAGAATGAAGATGTGGCAACAGTGGATGAAAAAATACGGTCGGGTTCAGGTATTTTAGTATTGACCTGTTTGACATGAATGAAAAAACCAGGTGGTAACATTTAATTAGATATTTATTGCACCTCAGCTTTGTGTATATACACGAGCTATATTTTTTGCACTGATTTCAACTTTTGTGTTAAAGTGGAACATAAGAAATAGAGCTGGAGGACCAAAATGGAACATATAAAATAGAGTTGAAGGGCCAAAATGGAACAAAGTAGAGATATAGTGCCAAAATGAAAAATGGTGCCAAGTCGGATGAGTTGTATATGTATTTGACCCTCTTTAATTAATACTGTAACTTTTAAATATATAAATTTTATTTTTAAAAACTTAAATTTTTTATATCTGAATATAAAAGTCAAACAACCATGTTAGTCATGTTGAATATTTCTCACAAATAAGTATTTGATGGTTCCACTGATTTTTAGATCAATCGAAGTCCGCCGGTCAAATTCAGAAAAATTGCCGTGTATAAGAAATAAACAAAATCATTAATTCTTGTTTAATGATCCCGAAAAATAAAAAAATCACGTTAGTTATGGTGAGTATTGCTCATAAGACCGTATAAGATATATCCCTAAATTGTTAGGCTAATCGTAGTTCGTCAACCAAATTCAGATAAATTATTATGTATATAAATACACGAAAAAAGGACATAAATATTAATTCATGGTTGTCGGAAAATCATGGTTATTTTAAAGAAAGAAGAAGAGAGTGGTCAGAAAACTTTTTTTTGGACGAAACTTCAAAGGAATTTGTTATACTCTTCATGTCAATATTATAGACTTAACAAAGATATATTTAATAACATAAGGTATTCAATAGGTCACAAATAATATGTCCAGAAAATAAATAATGCCAAATTTAGAGGGCCCTCAATGTGTTTGGACTAGCTAGTTTAATAGAAGAAACTTTAAACAAAATTTGTCTTTGATCAATTGTGTAAACTACTAAAGAAAGTATTTCAAAATATATTTAGTCGTCTAATTGAAAAACACAAAGAAGACAAAAATAACATAAAAATAAAAGGTAGTTCTAACAGAATTTTTTTTTTCTGCTAATCTGACAGAGAAATTTCTCTAGTACCATATGTCTATAACAAGTAAAAATATCATTTTAATGTATATATTAACTTGGCACACATTGATATCCAACATTCAAGACTCATAGTTTATTCAGGTCAAAGTACTAGCTTTTTCATATGGATTGACTTGAAAATTATTGCTGGAACTACAATTACAAATGTCAAATTTAGCAAAAAAGTGTGACTCCTCCTTACTTGAAATAATTGATTATCAATTGTACCTCGGGAGTTGGACCCATTTGAGTTTACTCATGTTAAGTTTAGAATTTTAATAATGATCAATATAAAACTAAAAAAGTTTTGACTAATGATATACTTTTGTATGTAGATTCTAATTCAGGTAAGTAACAGCATTGCTAATAGGAAGGATGATCTACTCAACGACTAGATATCTTGAATTGGAAAGTACATCAATCAAGCCTAAGAAGAAAGGAATCAATCTGTCACACCTCCTTTTTGCGCGCCCGCCCCGAAGGGTTAAAATTGCGCAAGGGAGTTTTTCCAATTTAAGTGACAATATTCGAAATGAGATTATTTATTTAATTCAGAGTCGCCACTTGAGAAAGGTTTGGTTTTTAGTGTCCCAAGTCACCGGTTTGTCTTGAATCCCAAATCGAGGAAATTTTCGACTTTTCCAAATGAAGTCTGCAAACCAGAAATTCTAAGTAAGGAATTCTGTTGACCCGAAGGAAGGTGTTAGGCACCCTCGAATCCCGTGGTTCTAGCACGGTCGCTTAAATTGTTATAATGGCTAGATATCTGATGTAAACACATGTTATGACTTTTGTGCTTTTATTAAAATTAAACCGCTTTTATTATTATCATTTTTTTTATAGAATTGNTGAAGTCTGCGAACCAGAAATTCTAAGTAAGGAATTCTGTTGACCCGAGGGAAGGTGTTAGGCACCCTCGAATCCCGTGGTTCTAGCACGGTCGCTTAAATTGTTATAATGGCTAGATATATGATGTAAACACATGTTATGACTTTTGTGCTTTTATTAAAATTAAACCGCTTTTATTATTATCATTTTTGTATAGAATTGCAACGTCGTGAAAATGTATCTCGAACCACGTCACAATCAATGCACCCGTAGTTGTTAACACATTTCGATGCCGTTGAGATTTGGATCTGGGTCACATCAATGTGCACCCGTGTTTAAGAAGGTTAAATTATTAAAGCCGCGCCTAAAGAGCCTAACGCGTTATTATCTTTGGGGAAGGAGTGAGCTTTTCTAGACAATTCATCCCAAACTAATGGGTTTATTATGGTCAATTGTTGAGGGCCCCGCGATGTGTATCTNAGCTGATAGAACGAACAGTAACAACACAACAGCAACATCCAATGCAGTAGACACAATGCTTCAAGACCAAAACCAAATCCAGGAGAACAAACAATGCTACCCAAACAATAGACTTAGTCGAGACTTGGAAGTAATCAGGGTTGATTGAACAGGTTGAACAAATGAAAACCAAACAAAAGTAGGAAGAAACAATTTCTGATTTTTGTATGTTTTTCTCTCTTGTTTATGTGTCTGTATATGTCTCCCTGTGATATCCCTCTCACTATCTCTTTTCTTTTCAATAAAACCAGTGTCAATTTTCAGTTTTGAAATCTACTTGAGTTGTCAAAAAGAAATCTTTTCAGTTTTCTGTTTTTCAGAACTTCAGTTCTCAGTCCCCCCTCTCTAGTTCTCAATGTCCTCCCTTTATAAGCCTAACATCAGGCCATTTAAACAGCCTGTTAATCAATCAGACAAACCCTCCCATGTGCTGTCCTCTTTTCAGTTTCCACTCAACCATTTAAGTATAAAACCTTCCCATCATATTCCTGACAGTACCCTTTAACATTTATTAAACTAAAAAGCAGACAGGGGCAGCAAGAATAAAATCTGACAAACATGATGTCAAACTACTTTAATCAAAATGGCTTTTATACACATGTTGTGCACCAATGCACATGCCCTCCAATTCAGATTGTAGCTAACAATCCAACCCTTTTATTTCTGATCCAAATTAACAATTATAAGCAGCTAAACTCAGTTTCTAATAGATTCAGGCAATGTTTAACAGAAACAGGTCAATTTGTTATTGTTCAGACAACTAAAACTAATTGACGACACATGTCGACTCGACTATACTAATCATAACATGTACAATCGAAACCATGATCAGATGTCTAACAGTATCGAACACATGACTCGAATCGTACTGACNGTCAATTTGTTATTGTTCAGACAGCTAAAACTAATTGACGACACATGTCGACTCGACTATACTAATCATAACATGTACAATCGAAACCATGATCAGATGTCTAACAGTATCGAACACATGACTCGAATCGTACTGACTAAGCAAAATTGTACTGGGGAATCAGTTAATCAGTCAAATTTGAGGTTCAATTGATTGCACAGCACATACACATATACACATTATCAGTGAAAATAGATGAAGGACTTAATCAAACACAGAGGTTCAGGCAAGGTGGACAGGACACAGTTGGTAAAATTCAAAACACAAAT